ATGTTATACAATATAACATATATTTATCATATTTATGAAATTTGTTTTTGCTTTGCTTGCTTTGCTTTTCTTTTATTTTGGCTAAATCATATTTCTGCCAACATTAATAACGGTGAAAATCACCACCGGTGAGATTTAGCAATACCCTATTAGTTTTATTAGTATGAAAATTTTTTAAAAATTCAATATAATAGATTTTCAATATATCAAAATTTTTTCGCTAAACCAGATATCCCGATAAACCAGATATTTTTAGTGAAACCAATAGATCTGGTTTATCGAATTTCACTGTGTATATAGTACATAACAATAATATCACATGTAGTAGGGTAGGTGGCAAAAATCATGTTACCACCCCAGGTGGTATGAGGACTTTTTCATAATATAATTGAATAAATATATATAATATAATAAATATAGTATATTCATATACTGTAAATCACATGCTTATTATTTTATTAGTCAAATTTTATATAATGGACTATTTATTATCATAGATAACAGCTATTTAGATAAGTAGAATTATATGCTTTTAAAATTATATTATTAAAAATTTTTTTTTTTAACTTTTTAATAAAATCACATGATATATATATATAAACATACAGATTTTCCCCAGTAACATAATTAAAATTTCACTATCACATGATCGTGAAAATATTCATCACAACCATTATACCTACTGCGTTTTCTTATTTGAGGGACTCAGTTTTTTTCAAGTAGTTAAAAACTTATTCGTCACACATTATTCATCATGGTTTAATTTCACGTATTACAGCTATTTTCTAAATTATTGACCTCCTCCCTGTTATTTTTAAAAAATTTTTCAGACACAGTCAGACGCAGTCAGACAGTCAGACACAGTAATTCGGGCTGACTTATAGTGCCGGCCGGAATTATGAGTCATGTGGTTACACAAATTCCAAAAAAGGAAATTTTTGAATTTGCAAAAATCACAAAAAATATTTTTTTTGTGGAACGGGTATCGCCCAAAAAGGAATAATATCGTGTCAAATTTCCTTTTTGGGCGATACCCGTTTCACAAAAAAATATTTTTTGTGATTTTTGCAAATTCAAAAATTTCCTTTTTTGGAATTTGTGTAACCACATGACTCATAATTCCGGCCGGCACTATAAGTCAGCCCGAATTACTGTGTCTGACTGTGTCTGACTGCGTCTGAAAAATTTTTTAAAAATAACAGGGGGGGTCAATAATTTAGAAAATAGCTGTAATATATAATGGGCCAAATGTCATGTAATAGTAAAATTTTAATGGTGTTACTGGGAGCATAGCGAACATCCCTTATACTGTCACATTATTGCCGATCATTTGCTGATCATTTATTAATCATCTTTTCAATATTATCTGGTTAATATATAAAGCTGAAATGATGTTTGATTTGACAATTTTGAGGGTAAAATTGATCAATATTAATAGAAATTATATCAATACATGTAAATTTTTATAATTAATAAATAAAATGAAAATTCAAATTTTATAATCTTGAGATCCAGTGAACATATTCTAATGAATTATATACTATTGGATATACTATTAGATTGGTCTTAATGAGAGGATTCAAATGGTAGTAAAATCATTGCCATCAGATCCATATTGGCAAAGTTATTGCATTTTAAAATTTTGTACTAAATTAAATAGTAATATTATTAGTGGTTTTGTTTTTTATCGCCATGGCGATGCATCGCCAGTGTCACATGATTTTATAATTCTGGTCGGAATTAAAAGATCGTCAAAGAAATTTCCTTTTTTGGAAGTTTTGTGTAACAAAAACTTGAATTTTGCTGAAAAATAAAATTGCCTTTTTTTTGGATTGTATAACGTTACCTAAAGCTCCAAAAAAGGATATTTTGGCCAGCGTTATAAAATTTGGCCGAGATTAAGCATGTGATGTACAGTCGCCACTGGATATAACGAACCAGCCGTTCCAAGAGATTTGGTTCAGTATATAACGAATTCGATATATAATATTTATGTTATATACAGAACTGTTCGGTATATAAATTTTATCCAATAGTTTTAGCTGCACATGACCATTATATTTAAATTAAAGTTAATAAAATGCGCGATGTACTACAATATTATTTTATTAACGACTATAATTATTAACCAGCTATTTAAACATTATTATTATTATATTAGAAGTAATGAAGATCAAGCTGTTTAAGATTATTTACAACTAAAAGTTTTACTTTTTTATGTAATTTTCTTAAAACCTTTAACTCTTCATTTACATCACCAAATTCCGGTCTCTGTTCATACAAAAATTTTATAGTTTTATCTATAGCCTTTTCTGCATCTGTTGGACTCACTTTTTCCGATATAGGTGTAAATTCAGTCTCATCCATCATATCTTCCTCTTCCTTATCTGCATTTCGTATAGTATCAACTATTTCAAAATCTGTAAGCCCACCTTACGGCATCTCATCCTCAACATAAAGGTATTCATACGAATTAAGATCAATATTTGGAAGCTAGGAAATTAACGCTTCAAGTTCATCAATATCCATATCAAAACTAAGAAAAATAGAAGTTAATGTTAATTTTAAAAAAATTATATTATATAATTTTGCATACCTATCATCAGAAAATGCTGAATCATTATCAGGAAATTCTCCAGTTTCGTTAATACTTGGTGGAAGAATACCCGTTTTCTTCCAACAGTTTGAAATCGTTTGAGAAGATACTATTGACCATGCTTCAGCAGCATTCTGTAGAGCATCATAAATGGTATAATCTGCAAGTTCTTCCACAATACCGTCCTGCACATCATCATATGCATCAATCCTATTCTGAATGAAAAGGCGTTTGTAATGACACTTAAATGAATGAATGATCCCCGCATCACAAGGCTGAAGTTTAGTGGTAGTATTTGGTAGAAGAAATTTCACATCTATACTATCCAACTTTTCTCGAGTTTCATCTAAAATAAGATGTACTGGTGCATTGTCAATTAAAAAAATTATTTTTAGTCTTTTTCGTCTCATTATTTCATTGAGTTTAAGAAGAACTTCATTAAAAATGCTAACTTGCATCCATGCTTTTTTATTCTAAAAGTAATAAACTGGAAGGTTTTTATAATTAATGTTTTTCATAACACGAGGAGTTTTGTATTTGTGAATAAATGTTAGCGTCATTTTCTCACTGCCGGTTGCATTTGTTGCACAAAATATTGTAACACGGGATTTCTCTTTTTTATGCCCTGATAGAGAATTACGTGCCAAAACTCTAAAAGGTTCCATCTTCCAGAATAGGCCAGTTTCATCACCATTCCAAATGTCTTCAGGGTTGTAAAATGCAAGGAGCTGTTGTAAAGCAAAACGATCTCTTTCTATCAATTCAGCTGAAGGAGCACTTTCAGCTTCACCTTGCTTTTTAAATTGACGCAAACCATGCCGTTTTTTAAAGCCACCTAACCAACCCTCTGAATGATGAAAATCTTCTATTAAAAACTGTTCGGCAAAATAGCTTGCCTTTACCTTTAAGATATTACCATCAATATCTTGTTTAGTATTAAGTGCGTTGTTAACCCATAAACCAAGTGCACCTTCCAGTTGTGGCCATTTTGGTCTGCGAAATTTTTTAGTATTTTCTTAGCTTTCTGTAATTGTAAGCCAACGGTCACTTTCTCTTAAAATGTCAGTAATTGTAGACTTCCCAACATTATATTTTTGCGCAAGTTCTACATTTTGGAGTGTTGGGTCTTTCTCTTTCATTTCACAGATTTCGCGCTTTTGTTTAGCAGAAAGACTAACTCTTTTTCTCTTTGTCAGCATTATCGGAACTTTTGAAGAAATTTATCTGATTCAGACTAACGGAAATTGGAAAAGTATTTACGCGTAATGGTGATGTGATCATCTTTTATATTAGCCCATATAAGTCACATGACAGTTCGATATACTAAATATGCAGCTAATATATTTGGGCTAGCTATAATGAGTTCGGATGCGGTATATAGCAATTTATTATGTGATTTCGTTATATTCAATGTAGTTTATTATAAAAAATTAGTTCCGTAAAACTTAGTTCACTATAACAAGTTTTCGGTACAAACAGGTTCGTTATAACCAGTGGTGACTGTATAGGGAGTGACAAATAGTATTTTTTGCACTGAAAAAATTCTAAGTCCCCAGAATAAATAATAAAAATGGAAAACTAGAGGATGTGATGCAGGGTGACAAATTATTCACATATGTAAAGTCACGTGATACTTGCGACACATCGCTATGGGGATTTTTTATAAAATCCTTATTCACAAGCCGATGCAACCGGCACATTCGGCAAAACTCGTAAAACTCCGAATAGGGAAAATTATATCGCTAGAGAGCACTCATTCCTCAGGACCCCGGATATCTCCAAAACAGGTCATAAGTCACACTTTCGGCAGATTGGCCCATTTTTCAGGGACTCAAAAAATCGTTTTTTGTAAATATCTCGGCATCCAGTAGTCCAATTTTGATGAACTTTTTTTTAAATTGTAGAGCTAAATGAGGGCTACAAAATAAAAAAATGTTCATTAAAATTGAATTACTGGATGCTGAGATATTTACAAAAAACGATTTTTTGAGTTTTAGCAAAAAGGGGTGTTTTTGGCCAAAAGTCCATTATGACCTTTATATTAGATATCCGGGGTCCTCATTCCTCCGATTTGCAGATGCTAATGTATCATATTCACAGTATTAATAATTGCAAATATTAATTTGGCCATAACTTTTGTGTTACCTAAAATTATGCTGTATTACTTTAGCCATTAATTTTAAAGACATTAATCTATACTCATAAAAATTTCAAGTTTCGCCCGAACTTCTGTGGCTTCGTCCAAAACTTCAAAGTTGATGATCGGCATATATTAATTAATTGAAAAATTTGGCCTAAAACTAACTTTGGCATTACATTTTATTTTGGCACAAAATTTTTAAAACTGTTAATACTTTAAACTATTAAATAAAATAATTTAATGTGATTTTTTTACACATTTATGGTTTGAAATAATGCTTCAAAGTTAATGTAATGTCACATATATTATGATCAGCAAATGATCAGCATGTGATAATAAGCATGTTCGCTATGCTGTTACTGGGGAAGTTATGAACACTGTGTAAATTAAGAAATTTTCTTTTTAAATGTTTTTGTATTAAGGTAAATTTATATAAAATAATTATATTTTTTGTCTATTTGCAGATAATCATTCATACAAATAATTCTTTTTATTAAAATACAAAAAATTTGGGTTAAAAAAAAGTTTATAAGAATTTCTAATATTTTATTGCATAGTAATATTATATATTATATATGAGTATCACGATTATCGTGACGGTTATTGTGATAAGTACGGTTATTGGGATAAGTGCGGTTATTGGGATATGTACGATTATCTTGATAACTATGGTTATCGTGATAAGTGCGGTTATTGTGATAAGTACGGTTATCGTGATAAGTGCGGTTATTGTTGTGATAAGTACGGTTATCGTGATAAGTGCGGTTATTGTGATAAGTGCGATCATCTCTTGGAGAACCTCTTCCCCTTCCTCTCCCTCTTCCTCTACTACCACTTCTCACGCATTCATGATCCTCCCATCCTAAAACTGGAGGATCCATTCTGACGTTTCGTAAAAGGATAGACTTATGTGCGTTGCCAGCTGTTTTAGCAGGAAGATAATAGAATATACTAAAAATATACAAGTGAATTGGTCAAGGTTCTTAATTAAATCAAATAATGAGTCAATCTAAGGAAATATACCTCAATGATCTATCAATAATATCTGGCATGTTTTTTTCAACAAAAGGTGAACGAAACGTACTTTTAGGTACAAAATTTGGATCTTTTGAAACAAATCCAATCATCTTGTCGCTAATGGTTGGATCCAATGGTATAGGCTGCCATAAATTTCAATTAAATTAATAAAATTCACTCTAAATCTCAAGGAATTATTAAATCTCACCTTGTCCGAGTCCTGGTTTGAATATAAGGGGCATAATATATTATATAATTTATGACTGTTGCTAAAGCAGAGGACTTCGGATCCACATGTGTTTCTCATAGTTTCATCGGTTGTTAACTGGGGATAAACCGATTCCATGGCTCTAAGCAAACGTGGTTCATCAATGAAAGGAAGTAAAGCAACTCCTATAAATCATTAAAAAAAGTGTATTTAAGTATATGAAGAACGATATATAAAGGATACAATAATAAGTATATATTACCTTGCCACGCGTATCTTTTCCCGTTTAAATCTATTTTGAATTTTTCTGGATAAAAGTCTATTATATCACTAGCTTCATCAGTCATAAGTTTATGAAAAGGCACTGGTAAAAATTCTTTACTATAATTTATTTAAATTTATTAAATAATATAATTTTTGTTTAGTTAATTAACCGATAAAAAAATCGTAACTACCTTTGTGCTGGCAGTACACCCATTAATTGTTCGAATGGCTTGAAAGGTTCGCCCAATTCGAATTTAATTTGAATGTCACCAATATCAACGAAGTCTGATGCGAATGGCGAATAATGGTAAGGATAATACCATTTCCAAGAGGGAACACCCTATAATTATGTATAAGTGTTAATAAAATTAACAAAGTTACTTTTAGTAAAAAAGATTATACCTGATAATAATATTGTAGAACCCAAGATAGGCCTTCAATATAACTCTTCACGAGACTGTTCAAGAAAAAATAAATATATAAAATATAAATCGTTAATATGAAAAAAAATTTTCATTACTGAAATAAGTGAACTTACTTTTGTTGGAATTCTTTGTCTGGTAGGTCAATACCAAATTTCTGTTTATAATATCTCTCTTTAAATCCTGTTTCCCATAATCTAAAATTGTTTTGGCGTTAAACAACTACATTTGTATCAAGGAGTCGAATTTACGATATATAATTACCTAATTGGATCAACAACATCCTCACTATCTTTTGATACGCTCGGTGAGTCATCGTCATCATCATTAACATCGTCATCCCTTTCGGAAGTAATTGGAATTTCATCGTCCAATATATCTGCTTTTCTCTTTGTAGCTAACATAACCTTATCACCAGTATCTCGTTTAATTGTCTCAGAAACAGAAATATCAGAATCCACGTTTTTATTGATTTGTATATCAATATTTGCTGTTGAAACAGGGGCACTGGAACTATTTAACTCTGCCTTCAATGATTGTGCAGCATTTATATTAGCTATCCGTAATTCTTGTCTATTAGTAACAACTTCTTGATTTGATTTTGCACGTAGTTGCGAGTCAAATCCTTTCACTGGGAGTAAAGGCATTCCAATTGGTAAATGAGGCAGGCTAGGTGTAACACATTCATTATTCAAGTTTTGTAAGTTATCAATTTCGTTTTGGGATGATTCTGGTGGCTGATTGACGTCAGTGACTTTATTCGGTTTAGTCTTTTGACGTTTTGGAGGTGGAGGTGGAGGTGCTCGCCTTTGCTCATCTATCGACGAAAATTATAGTAGTTACCAGTGAATAATAATAAATAATCTGAATGCATAGAATAATGATGAATTAAATGATATAACACTTACTTCTATGTCGTCGAATAAAAATATCATCTTCTTGTTTGCCAAGTTCTGTGACTAAATATTGTAACCCTTTTAAATCCACCTATATATGAAATAGTAACTAGTTTTAAGTATCTTGAATTTTTATACAACAATAGCTAGATAAAACTTACATTTCCACTATTTGTCAAATAACCACCCATTAATGAGAGACAACGTTTCCATATAGTTATCAAAGTATCTATTGCACCTTCTCTAATCTCCAAAGACGGCAAGTGAGGAAGAAAATCATTACCTACGAAAAAGCAAAGAAATACCCAATCATCAATCGCATTCTCCAAATTAAATGGCCAAGGTATGTTAGATACTTTAAGTTCAATTTCCAAATATTCTCGAAGAACTTGAACATTTAGAAAAACATATGGTTTAAGAGCCGTGGCCTTTCCTTTCTCATCATATTGCCCCTGTTTCTGTTTTGCACGACCTATGAAAACATGTATCATGAGATTAAACAATCAATTATATTTCAATACAAAACTTTCAAAAAAACCTGTGCATTGATTAGCCATATGGTCAGATTGACCACAAATAAAACATCCTCTATAAATTCCTTCTTGAAAGAAGATGTCTTCTCGTAGAACTTTAAAATGAGGTTCGTGCGTAGCTAACGAAAGCATTATAAGATCGGCATCCTACAAATTAACAAGAATCGTGAGCAGATTCAATTGTCGTAAATAAAGACAAATTTTTTTAAAAAGAAACCGACCAAGCCGTATATTACGTGACGAGTATTAGGATCGTGATATGGACTAGCACGTTGCGCACGAATAAAATCCATAATTTTATGTTCACCTTCACCTGGTACACTTGCATCAGAAAGTATGACTTTTAACTACGAAAATAAACGTTAGTGTTTAAATTTTTTTAACAAAATGAATACAATAATTTATTAAAATCAAAACAGAAATCCAAAGACGAAAAATTGTGACATACATTTTTCCATCCTGGCTCTGTATTGAGTTTATCTGCAATCCAATATCGCAAACAAACTGCAAGACGTGCCATAAAAGGTGTACCTATTATTTTAATTAAACATAATTAATGAACTGACAATAAGCTTAGCCATTTACAAAATTATAAAACGATAGATACCTGGTGTTATACAATTACTATCAAAAGACTTCTTTAATTTAACATCTTGGTCTATTGATTGACCTGACGCTATTATAGGTAAAATGTATTATAGAAGGTTAATAAAATTCAAATCTATTGAGAATTATTTAATTATACAACAATAAACACACGATACCCTCAAGTTTTTCTATTGCTTGAGCTGCTTCTTCTGCCTTTTCTTTGGCTTCTTGTGCTGCTCTAAATCTACGAGATCTCTGTTGATTCATCTTAGCACGAGGTGCAACGCCATCTAATATATAATGATTTTGTCAAAAAAAACCTCTATCCGCAACTTGCCAAATTTTATCTTTACAGAATAAATTATTGTTATTGAGTATAATAATTACCAATAGCGAGATATAAAACTTTTCTAGGACGAATCATAGCAACTATTCGCTCTGTATATTCCATTATTTCGACCATCATATCTTCTTCTGTAGCTGGAGCAGGCTTATAAATAATAAAATAAAAACTAAATTATCCAATCAAATATAATCTTGAAAAGGTTGATATATCGTAGATTTAAAAAGTTTACCTTGTTCTCCGGATGACAACAAGGATGAATAATACCATTCATATCTAAATATAAATTGTCAAACTCAATATTATTTGGATTTGGTTTAGAAATATCGACTGGAAGTTTTACTCCATTAACTTCAGTAGGAGTCTCTTCAATGACTTGCTCGATGATCTTTGGATACTTTTTGGATAACCATCTAAAAATTAATAAATAAATAAATAAGTTCTGATCTAGCGAACCAACCAAAATTGAAACTCATACCTAAAGAGAGCTGGAACCCCCATGGCGATAAGTTTAGTAATAAGGTAGAATTGCAGTATTATATTTCTATGAATTACTAAGAATCTCTGAGTACGTTAAGTATGAGCATCGCTATCGCAAAAATATGAATCTTTGACCCGTCACATGGATTAATCTTGACCCACTGCATGCACGTTGTCGATCACATATATTTTACAATACACCATGAATAGGATCGACAACGTGCATGCAGGTGGGTCAAGTTTCACGTACGTGACGGGTCAAGATGCATATATTTGCCTAGCATCGCTATCAGGTAATGCCGAAATATTACGTAATTCAGGTGTGATGATCGACATTTCTATATTTTTTAATTAAATCGACACAATTATATAAAGTCAGATCCACTCATATGGAAGGCTGTAGTGACAATATTTAAAGAATATAATATTACAATCTAACATTTTAAGTAAAATAATCATTAGTTTTTAAAGTAATTTAATAAATTAATTTAATAATCCCCTGTCGCACTAAGTGTCACTCATGATCACCATACTAATTTTATAAATGACCGGAAATCTTCGTTTATTTATTTCCCGGCCTTATAGATAGCCAGGAAATTACTAATTTTTAGCTTAAAATAGTTAAGTTTAAAATATTAATATTTAATGAGTGGCACACTCCAGGAGATTACCCATTTATTTCATGGAGAACATCAGGGTTTTTTTCCCTCATATGGGCGGATTTGTTCACCCTTTAATTAACATGTTTATTTAAGGTACTTTTGTTACACAAATTATTACATATGGCGCAGTAGGACCTGGGACGAACATTAAAAAAATTTTATTTGGTTTTATTAATACAATAATTTGATAAATTTGATAAATAGTTCTTTTAAGCCAAAATACAATAAATATTATTCTTAGCAATACTGATAATATCTGTTGTGGAATCTCACTTTATACAATAGCTTCTAAATCTTTTTTGTGTAAAAATCAATAATACATATGCTTACAATTTGTTTGAATATAAAAGTTCCTATTTTGTCTACAGCAAGATAAATAAGAATTAATAATATGTTTTGAAAAATGCAAAAAATGGACAATTTCTGTCTCTTATACACATCTAGATGTGTATAAGAGACAGGCCCCAGGTAGAGTCGAGGTTCTGTAAAGCACCAGTAGATTCAAAGGTAATGTATGCAGTACGATAAAGTTTAGATAAACGGGTATGGCA